TCAGGTCTCTAGATTCCTGGTCCAGTAACATCAGCATGATGCTTCAACTAGGATATGGTAGCAAAGTGATCAGAAGTCTGCATCTTGGAAATTGGTGTGACAAACATGCTGACGGTTTGCAACAGCATAGATTTCTATTACTTTGCAAATCTTTTTAACTGTATGACTGTAAATAAAGAGGAGTTGGTGGTGGGGGCAGCTGCAGTGTCACAGATTAAATCTGTAGCATGCTTTGGTTCTAAGATAAAATGCACATCGTAAATCATCTTATCTGCTCTAAATCACAAGAACCTGGACAAACAGTGGGAGTCAGGCCACCTTTAGATAAAACATCAACGATAACCAGACTCAGACGAATCTACTCACAGCTCCCCCAGAACGTTACTTCTCTTGTCACCGGGCCCTGACTGTTACATTCGGTGTTTAACCTTTGCCTTGCACTCTGCAACTTCACGGTGAATCAAAAGTAAAAAGGGTAAAAAGAAGAGAGAAAGAAACCATCACAGGCAAAAAATCCTGGCTACAAAATGACAGCTGCAGCTGCATCACTGCTTCTTGGATCCTTGGCCCCTGTGATGAAGTCATTTATCCTCCTGGCTACATGGACCAAGGAGTGAATCTCTTCTCTCACCACTGTGTGACCTCGCTCTGCAAGAAACTCCACTTCCTCCTCTGGGAACTCATCTGCAAAGGAATACAGACAGTCATTAATCGTGGTTGTTCTCCTCAGAGCAGAGAAGGTCAAGGGGGAAGTTTAATAGATGTGTTCAAAATCACCATGCCGGGCGGCACATTGGCTCAGTGGTTAGCACTGCTGCCTCACAATGCTAGGAACCCAGGTTTGATTCTAGCCTCAGGTGACTATTTGTATGGAGTCTGCGCATTCTCCCCATGTCTGCGGGGGTTTCTTCCTGATGCTCTACTTCCCTCTCAGTAGAAAGATGGATTGGTTAGGGTGGATTGGCCATGCTAAATTGCCCATAGTGTCCTGGGGTATGCAGGCTAGGTGGATTAACCATAGGAAATGCAGGGTTAGGATGGGTTTGGGTGGGATGCTCTTTGAAAGGTCAGTGTGGAATCGACAGGCCGAATGGCCTCCTTCCACACTGTAGGGATTTTATGTAGTGTTATGACAGAGAAAATAAGAAAAAAATGGTTTTGGCTGGCAGTAGATCAGATAACTAGAGAAATAAAAACAGAAATTGCTAGAGAAACTCAACAGGTCTGGCAGCTTCGAATTTCACATCAAAGAAGAATCACACTAGATTCGAAAATGTTAAGTCGGTTTCTCTCTCCCACTCTCCAGACTTGCTGCGTTTCTCCAGCACTTCCTGGTTTTAATTCAGATTTCCAGCATCCACAGCATTTTGCTTTTATACAGTAACCGGAGCAGACAGATTTAAGATAATTGGCTGAGATTAGCAGAAGGTTAGTTACAGAGCAAGTTGTGATGATCTAAAATAAGGGTGAAGATTCTCTCCAAATCACACATCATCCAGACTTAGAACTCTCTCATTCCTTCACTGTCTGTGGGTCAAAATCCTAGAATTTCTTTCCTAACAGCAATATGGATGTTGCTACACTCCAAGGCTTGCTGCAGTTCAAGAAGGAAGCTCATCAACACCTTCTCAAGGGCAGTTGCGGATGGGCAATAAATGCTGGCCTAGCCAGCCTTTTGCAAACTCTCAAATAAATTAAAATAAAAATCCATTGGGAAAGAAAATTATGGTGAGACTAATCGGAGAGAGCTTTCAAGGAGTCGGCACAGGCACAAAGAGGTAAACAGTCTTCTGTGCTGTAAGATTCTATGATTATAGAAGAAATCCATCAAAGACACTTAAGACATTACTTGATATATTCCTCAGCTGAATCAACTTAATTCCCTTTAAGAAACAGCCATCATGACCTAGAATGGCAGCCACAGTCCTTGCTCATAACCAGGGGACAGGGATTAAGGGTAAAAGCTGATTTTTTTTTTTCCCCCCCACCAAGAGTGTAATAGGGATTTGGAACACACTGTCCAAATGTAGGTATAGCCAGACACCCTTATCTCAATTTGGAAGTCCTTAAAGTGCCATAATTCGCAAGGTCACTTAAAGAGAGATTAGGCTGATGACTCCTTGTCAGCCACGCACCAGTGTGATGGTCCAGATGGTCTCTTCCTATGCTTTATATTTCTATTTGCCACATTTTGTCATGACTGTTGAACATTTGAAACTTATATTTAGCACAAAGTGAAAAACTGGAATTCTGGATAAACAGCTTAGCTTAGAAACATGCCCATGTGATAGGTTGCCACAGGGAGAGAATCTCAAAACAGTTTTACCATCTTTTCATGGCATCTCACAGGAAAAGGGCAGGTGCTGCTTGAGACAAAGGCAGTAATACTGTGGGAAAGCAAAGGCAACTACTTTTATGGTAATGACCAAGCTAGTCAGCTTTATGTTTCTGCACCAAAGAAAGGGAACAGTACAGATGGGGTTCTTGAAGATTTAAGAAATATAGAGGGGTTAATCATATCCGGAAAAGCTCTGATGGATGTAAAAGATACCGGGCATGATTTTGAAGAACAGCACCCCTAACACTTAAAAGGACAAGGGCAATAGTTACATAGGAATACCATCACCTGCAGATTTCTCACCAAACAAAACACCATCCTGACTTGGAACAATATCATGGTTCCCTCATTGTAGTTGGCTCAAAATCCTGGAGCTCCCTCCCTAATTGCACCATGGTCTACCCACAGCAAATGGACTGCAGTGATTCAAGAAGGCACTGCCTTCTCAGGGGCAGTTAGGAATGGGCAATAAATGACACCCTAACCCAGGTGTCCTGGTCAACACACATGTCTCCAACAAATTCATTATCTGGTCATCATCATATTGCTGTTTGAGGGGTCTTACTGTGTAAATTGCTACATTTTCAACATTACAGCAGTGACTAAACTTCAAAAGTCCTTGGCAGGTTGTAAAGTGTTTGGGAATACTTTGAGTCATGCCAGGCAATTATAACTGGTGGGAATTCATTTATTTATTTAGAAGTAGTAAACGGTCTGATTTACTTACTCTCAACCAGTAAAACATTTGGCTGAAGCTGCGGATAGAAACGGCTAAGAGCAAGGCTTTCATTCAGATGCTTGCGAAATGAGAAAATGTTCAACAAGACCTGCTCAGACACAAGAGATAAATAATGATGTATGATTATATTAGATTAGTTATATTAGCTACATTCCTAATTTTCCCCTATTGTTTCCAATTCACCAGTCACAATTATTTCCCATTTCCTATTCACTGAAACTGAATTGCAGGCTGACATTTACATAGCACATTTGAATCCTGAAAGAGAAGAACAGGAAAAGGCTATTTGGGCCCTCAAGCCTGTTCTACCATTTTCATAGGTCATGGGCAACCTGTATGTCAACTCTCAGCTTCATAAACCAAAAAAGATCTTTGTTACAATCAGTCTTGAAAGCTCTTATTTCCCTGACATCTAGTGCCCGAAATACAGATTTCTCCTGTGCGGTGTGTGTGAACAGATGCTTCTTGATTTCCCCCCTATATGGCTCAATCTTTTTATTCTTTCATGGGATGTAGAAATTGTTGGCAAGGTCTACAATTATTGCCCATGCCTAGTGGCCCTTGAACTGATTGGCTTGGTAGGGCCATTTCAAGGGCAGTTAAGAGGCAACAAATTGCTGTGAATCTGGAGTCACATGTTGGCCAGACCAGGTAAGGATAGACGATTTCCTTCCCAAAAGTGAACTAGATGGGTTTTTATGACAATCAGTCCTGGTTTCATGGTCGCCAATAAACTAGCTTTTTTATCTACAGATTATCTTAATTGAATTTAAACTCCACCAGTTGCCACACATTCCTCCTCCCCTTGTTGATATATCGAGCAAACTTCAGACTATCCATCTAAATTATAGTAATTACACATTCCTCATTGCACAGAGGAGGTGAGCTATCTTTATTTTTCTATTTTTTTTTCCTAAGAATTTGTACTCAAGAATCTGTACCTTGGTGCCGTTAGTGGCAACTTATAAAGTTTTGACTGTACCCATTTGAGGACATGACAGTAAAGCTAATTCATTCATTGAATGGAATCTGAATCAAATGTCCCATTAACCTGAACCTCTGGATTACTAGTTGACATTACCACTGCACCACAGTCTCCCCCCCATGACAGAATTCTGTCCTCTTGATTCCCCACTCATAGTAAACAGTTTCTGCCTATTTAACATTAAGCAATTTTTAATACCTTGAGCACCTAATTTGAACACCCTTCAATCTTCTGTTGTCCAAATGAACCAAATAAAAAATGATAACCCTCACTCACCTCAGTGAGGCTACTCAGAGTATTTGTTCCACCAGACGCTCCAAGAGAGAGGTATGTCCCACACATCCCTCGTAATGGCCGTACGATTGTGGGTAACAAAAAAGACAAAGGCCTTTTGCCAGGTTGAATACTGTTCCTCTGAAACAAAAATAAATGTATATAAGCATGGGATGAGGAAAGCCTTCTACAGACCATACATTTCTGTTCCTGCACGTAGTCGACCCAGTCCATTTACTTTTCTGAGGAAAGCTTTTTGGAAAATTCCTCCTCTCCTTATTGAGGGATCAAGCAAACTCCAGAATATCCATTTTAAATTATAAATTATTACACATCCTTCTCTGCTCTAAGGAGGTGAGCTATCTTCTTGGAAATAACTGAGTGGCTTGCTAGGTTGTTTTTGTTCATTTACAGGATGTGGGCATCACTAACTGGGCCAGCAATTATTGCCTTGCCCTTGAGAAGATGGTGCCTTCTTGAACTGCTGCAATCCAATTCATGTAGGTGGACCCATGGTGCCGTTAGGGCACAAGTTCCCAGCGACAGTGAAGGGATACTGATATCATTCCAAGTTAGGATGGTGTTTTGTTTGGAGGAGCAGGTGATCATGTTCCTGTGTCTCTGCTGCTCCCGTCCTTCAACGTGGTAAAGGTCACGGATTTGGAAAGTGCTGTCTAAGAAGACTTGGTGACTTGTGGGAGCTTAAGAAGCAATTACAAAGGCAAGCAGTGGACGTGATCTATTTGGATTTCCAGAAGTGCTGCACAGGAGGCTGCTAAATAAGACTAGAGCCCATGGTGTTAGGGGAAAGGTACTGGCATGGATAGAGGATTGGCTGACTGGCAGTAGGCAGAGAGTAGGGATAAAGTGTTTTTTTTCCAGGATGGCAGTCAGTGACTAGTGGAGTTCTGCATGGGTCAGTGTTAGGGCACAACTATTCACGTTATATATTAATGATCTAGACAAAGGAACTGAGGGCATTGTTGCTAAGTTTACAGATGACACAAAGATAGGTGGAGGGACAGGTAGTGTTGAGGCCGCAGAAAGACTTGGACAGGCTAGGAGAGTTGGCAAAGAAGTTGCAGATGGAATACAGTCTGGGAATTTTGAGGTTATGCACTTTGGTAGGAAGAACAGAGGCCTAGATTATTTTCAAAATGGGGAAGGCTTTGAAAATCTGAGCACAAAGGAACTTAGAAGCCCTAGTTCAGGATTCTCTTAAGGCTAACATGCAAGTTCAGTTAGCAGTTAGAAAGACAAATGCAATATTAACATTCATTTCAAGAGGAATACAATACAAGAGCAGGGATATACAATTAAAGCTGTATAAGGGTCTGGTCAGACTGCATTTGGAATATTGAGTAGTTTCGTGTCCAGTATCTAAGGAAGCTGGCCTTGGAGAGGGTCGAGGAGGTTTACAAAAATGATCCTGGAAATGAAGGGCTTGCTACATGTGGAGTGGTTGAGAACTCTGGGTCTGTACTTGATGGGATTTTAGAAAGGTGAAGGGAGGATCTGAATAAAACTTACAAAATACTGAGAGGCCCGGATAGAGCGGATGTGGAGAAATTGTTTCCAATAGCAGGCAGCACCTCAGATTGAAGGGATGACCCTTTAGAACGGAGATGGGGAGGAATTTCTTCAGCCAGAGGGTGATGAATCTGTTGAACTCATTGTTGCAAAAGGCTGTGGAGACCAAGTCATCAAGTGTATTTAGGACAGAAATAGATACGTTCTTGATGAGAAAGGGGATCAAGGGTTATGGGGAGAAGGCAAGAGAATAGGGTTGAGAAACAATACCAGCTATAATAGAGTGGTGGAGCAGACTTGATGGGCCGAATGGTCCAACTCTGCTCCTATATCTTATGGTGTTATGATCACTACACTATTGTACTCAAGTGATTTCAGATTTGTGGAGAAAATAAACCAGTCAGGATGAATAGTGAGGGATTGATCTATTAGCGTGGTGTTTAGGATGGTAGCAGTGTGCTACAGTTCTATCTGAGGCCAAGTCATGGTGGAATGTACACATGTCTGCATGTTGGACTCTGGAGTTTTGGGCAGTTAATGGTAGATGCTGGAAACACTCAGCATGTGTGTTTAGACACAGACAGAGAGATACAGAGTTAATGTTTCAGTTCAATGTGGTTTCGTCAGGAACAGGCAAGTTTAAAGATGCATTAAGATTTGAGCAAGGTGTGGATGGGACAAGGACCGATTGTGATAAGGTGAAACCCAACAGAACAATAAAAGAGTTTGTCATCCTGCTTCAGAGAGATTGGGGATGGTCAAGAACAGAAACAAAGATGTGGCCAGAGCAGATGAACTCATTGGCAAGAACAAGCACGGAAATGGAAACAAAACAACGCACAGGTTATAGTCCCAAATGGAGTCAAGAAGGCTGTAATGTGACAAATCAAACAGCAAGGTACTGTTGCTGAGTTCACTGAAACAATGCAGAAAGTCTCCGGTAAACCCAGTTATTCTGAAAACAGCATTACAGTTGTGGTGATATTCCCAGTTTTTTCAGGGAATCCAAATTTCGGGAAGGCTGTGAAACATTCAGTATGCTCCCTGTTGCGTACTCAGAGGGTAGATGCCCAGAATTCCAGTGCCGTACAGTCCAGTCCAGTTTTTAGCTGGTCTGATCACTGTCAGGTATTGGATGTCTTAAAATCTGGTATTGTGTCCAAAGGTACCTCATTGAAGCACCAGCAGCTGGGGGCCTGTTTGCTTTCCCTGGGTCTCTTTCCCTACCTGCAACAGTCTCACACAGACTGGGACATAGAAAACAGGCTGCCTTTCATCATTTTACCCCACCCCCATTGACTCTGAAATACTGATGGATTCTTGTACGCAGTGATGTCACCTCATTTGTGATGGTGTTTGATATTAGTAGCTTTGGGCATTGGTCCCATCAGCCAACAAACTGAGGGTTTAAAACCTGTTCCTTGGTGCTAGCTCTGAACATTCAAAATCCAGCCTGGGCCGGGTAAAGCATTCTCAGGTACAATACTTACTCATCGCCTTCCATATGGTATGCTTACTGGTCCATCACCTGTAAAACTAAATGTGCCATCAACGGATTTCTGGGCTAAGATATCTCATGGCGATTTTTAAGTGAAGAAGGGTTTTTTTTTTTAAAGTCAAGAGATTTCCTTACAAGATTCGCTGTGGAGTTGTCTTGCGCTTTGTTCGGCCAGAAGAAGTCCGACATCTGGCTGTTCAGAAGAACCCCAGAGGCAGTCATGATCCCACTGCCAAATGGACGGTTCAAGGAGCTGTAGAATAGATAAAGAAACACTGGTTTTACGTTGATACTCCTCTAGGCCAGGCTTAGTTCTAGCTTGCTCGTTAGGTTTCAGAATCCCCACTGAAATATCCTTTACTTTGTTGCTTAATAAGCAATCACCATTAGCTGAATGATGAGACTTCTGGAATTGTAACTTCCCCACATCCCAAAGTACTTGAAAAGCAATAACACTGTTGAACGATGGCTCAGTGGTTAGCACTACTGCCTCACAGCACCAGGGCCCCAGGTTTGATTCCAGCTTCGGCCGACTGTCTATGTGGAGTTTGCACGTTCTCCCTGTGTCTGCGTGGGTTTGCTCTGGTTTTCTTCCCACAGTTCAAAGACGTGCAGGCTAGGTGGGTTAACCATAGGAAATGCAGGGAAATAGGTTAGTGGGTTGGTCTGGGTGGGATGTTATTTAGAGGGTCAGTATGAACTCAATGGGCCAAATGGCCTGTTTCCACGTTGTAGGGATTCTATTCTATGGTTCAGCAGTAAATAGCTGCAAAAAGCAGCAGATATTTTATGCAGAACAAGATCTCAGAAACAGCAACAAGATGGAGGATCATTAATGAGGCCCAATGGCTGAAAGAGCCCAAGACTCATTTTCTCCATTGGATGGTAATATAATCTGTGGTCACAGTCCTGTACTACAGCTTTATGGGCTGTAAGTATGAACTTATAAATCACAACTGAGAAATGGATAACATTCTGTCAAGCAACAGAGTTGAGGGGCCGACTGACTTTTTCCTTCCTGCCAACATACATGCAACACATGGACCCCAAATTAATCTCAATGACTGGACAAAAGGTCATTAAAATAGGGAGGAGGAAGCTGATGGTTCTCTGCAGTCACCCCTCCTACTTTATGTCAAGTTCCACAGCCATGTGCAGATCTAGACAGCCCCCACCCCCGTTCCCCAACTGACAGCATGTCCATGCTGGTTAGTCAGCTGGGTAGATCGTCACATTCCCACCCAACCTGGAGCTGAAAGGATGGCAAACCAGCTGGCCAGTCATAGGCTCTCAATTAGTCACTAGCTGGCTACTTTGGTGGCTCAGTACTTTTGGGAGATGGGTGGAGCTCTCACATTCCTGTTCAGAACATCATGGGAGGAGGTGGAAAGGTTCTCCCATGTCACTGTCCCACCCAATTGAGTTCCCTTCCTGCCGCCAAGCCCACTGCCTCCAGAAGGTTCCACTCTAGTTGTCGATGAAGAGGAGATTTCTTCTCACAAAGGCAGGAATATCTAGAAAAGTATGTTGCTTAACAGACACCAAGCAGGCAGAAATATGGATTGGTCTTGACCTTTCTACTTGAGAAACTGTTCAAGTGCTTCACTATTCAATGCAATATGAGAAATTTAGTGATACAGATATAAAACAACAATGAATCAGCCTATTAAACTTCCAGACTCTTCCATAGTGGTCAAATAAAAAGGATTACAGGCCAGTATAGCTTCATGAAGAAGGTGACATTAAGTGTAGCAACCTGCAATCCTATGACTTAAACTGCTTCTGTAACTGCAAATATGAGTGTGCGTGCGTGTAATCACACAAGTGGGAGTGGGTGTAATCATGTACGTACTTGGTGTTGAATAACGAACATTTTATCTTTCTCTTAAAGTGCATGAGAAATCCCATCATTCGACTGCTGCTGACAATTGCAGAATTCCACAGTTAAAGCTGGTTTTCTTAAATGGAAGATGTGTTGCCAACAGTAAGATGACCAACAAAAATGGCTACCATTAGCTCTTTTTCGAAACCAGTCATTGATGCGCACTCAGAGCTGGGAGCCAGCATGAACTCTGCCCAATTGCACAAGGCACTCAATCAACCCTCATTCCACTCTGTATTCTGCTCTGCTCAGGGTCCGACTCTCCAGCTCCACAGCCCTGTCCCCCAACCCCAGTTACAGCTCCGCTCCCCACTCTGTTTAGCAGTAACATCACTGCACCCGAAAGGGCAATGAGTGTGAAAAGAAAAAACATCTTTGGTTGAGAACCAACTTTAAGAGAAAGATAAAATGTTTACTGTTCAACACCAAGTACTACATGTTTACACCCACTCTCACACTTGTGTGATTACATGCAAGCACACTCCTGTTTGCTGTTACAGAAGGAGCATGCGTTTAAGTCATAGGATTGCTGGTATTCTCTTGTTACACCTAATGTCACCTTCATGAAGCTATACTGGCCTGTAATCCTTTCTATTCGACCACCAAAGAAGAGCCTAGAGGTTTAAGAGGTTGATTCATTGTTGTTTTATATTTGTATCACTAACAGAAGAGGTAAGGGTGAAGTTGCCATTGTCCTGTTGGACCATAGGGCTTTCCTTTACACAACTGATAGTGGTTTAACCTGAGGGTCATCGCACCTCAGGTGAGGTGAGAGATTGAGCAGTAGAATCCTTCATGGTAACCTCAGCTAGTGCAGGAATTGAATCCACACTGTTGGTGTTACTCTGCATCATGAGCCAGCCACCCAGCCAACCTGTAACGTTGCCCAAAGTTAAAATCAACTGCACTTCAAAACATAATTCATTGTGCTGTGCACCTCAAGATATTGTGGTATTGGTGCGGCACATTGTCTCAGTGGTTAGCGCTGCTGTCTCACAGGACCAGGGACCCAGGTTCAATTCCAGCCTTGGGTGACTGTGTTGAGTTTGTATGTTCTCCCCATGTCTGCCTTGGTTTCCTCCAGGTGTTTTGGTTTCCTCCCACGGTTTAAAGATGTACAGGTTAGGTGGGTTGGCCATGTTAAATTGTCCTGTAGTGCTGAGGGATGTGCAGGCTAGGTGAGTTAGCCCTGATAAATGTGGGGTTATGGGGATCAGGTGGGTCTGGGTCGGATGTTCTTCGGAACATCAGTGCAGATTCAATGGGCCGAATGGCCTCTTCTGCACTGCAAGGATTTTATGATAGAAAAAGAAGCCATAAAAATGAATGCATTACACAATGTCTTTAGGGAAGGAAATCTGCCAATCTTATCTGGTCTGGTCTATATTTGAATCCAGAACCACAGCAATGTAATTGATCTTAACTTCTTTCTGGGCAATTAGGGATGGGTGATAATTGCTGGCCCAGTCAGTCAGTGACACCCACTAACCATAAACAAATATTACAAAAATGACGACAACTACAATCAACAATGCCGATGTGAAAAGCAATTCCTTCTAATGACATGCTAATGGGAAAGACCTCACTCTCAATGTAGATTACAGCAAATAAATCAGTCACTTAAAAAGGATGAGCTCAATTTGTTCAGATTCAACAGTATTTGAATGCAATAAATAATTCCCCATTTTTGTGTGTTTACCTCACAACAGAAACAATGAAGTCATCAGGTCCAATGACGTGCACTTGGCTTGTAGAAGGACCAGTCTCCAAGGAGTAGACAGGCAGATAGTGAGCAGGAGGGAATGCCACACTGTCATTAATCAGCTGGCGCAGAGTTCTGGCTTCTGATTTGCTGGCAGAAGAAAGGAGGAAAGGAGGAAGTTTTCAGCAGGATGGATAGACGGCAAAATGAAATGAGCTAAATTTCCTCCAAGGTTTGACTTAGAAATTTAGCTGTAGTTTCAGCAGAAACAATATGTCAGTGAATCCACTCTCCTGGAACTTCTACAACTCTTCCACTGAAGTTTCCTGGAAATCAGGAAAACCCCTCTCTGAAACACCCCAAAATTGCATTGCTGAAAGAATTTTGCACACAGCCTCTGTTTAAAGAGTGTAAGGCATTGTCTAATCATACCATAGCGCATCACAAACATTGTGCCAAAATGTTATAAAGACACCCTATGCCTTTACATTAATATATATTCCTGACAAGGACATGTTGTTGACTCTTTGCTATCTTGCATTAATCAGGACAAATGCAAGAAAACCAAATTTCCAACATGGGCACCAATTTATACCATAGGAGAAAGGGTGCTGACTGGTCCCATACCAACCCTGACTGACCAAAGCATTATCATGGAGGAAAAAAAAAACAAGGAACAAGCCTTCCAAACTCCTGGGTATTTCAAAAAACTCAAAAGGCTTGAACATATTCCTTTGTTTGCAGAGAATGGGATCTTGCATGTGAATGCACTTCCCCTTGCAAGTGGAAATGGGTATGTTACAATCTCAATTGATTATCTTTACTGAATTATAAGCATACCTATTGGCACACTCAGGATTGTTGGCAAGTGTAGCTCAAATGCAGAATCATATCTAATTGTAGATATTTGTTTTGGGTTTTATAGGCCCAGGTTGTTTGAACACAGTCTGCATTCTACCAATTACAAACAACCAAAGGAACATGCAATTTGATTTTGCTGTTGGGACAAATGTCCAGTATACAGAGTGCACTGAAAATCAGGATCAATAAATGTGGAGTTGGGAAAGCTCAGCAGGTCAGATGGCATCCGAGGAGCAGGAAAGTCAACATTTCAAAATGTTGATTTTCCTGCTCCCCAGATGCCGTCTGACCTGTTGTGCTTTTCCAGCTCCACATTTATTGACTCTAGCTTCCAGCATTTGCAGGCCTTACTGTCTCCAATGCACTGAGAATCAACCCTTCAGCCAGGTTGCTAAATTTGATACCACGTCACTAAAATGCAGCTTGAAATAAATAAGATGATTTTACAAAAAAGAATGATGGCTGTAAGCCTCGAATTGGTGCAAGTTTTTCTTTGAACAAAAAATAATGAAAATGAAATCTCTTACCTGAGCATCTGCTCAATCAGTTGATTAACGGAGGAATTAAAGAAAGGGTCACTTAGGCTGCTTGCCAAGGCTAGAGCGATTTTCAGTGACTGAAGATAAAAAGAATTGAAGAATTAGCAGAGCGTACAGGGACCGCAAAATAGATCTTCACTTTGAGAGGGCGGAGCTCAATGGATTGTCAGGAAGCAGGAAGATAAAGCACAAGTCTGCAGCACCTCCCATTCCTACCAGTTCACCATTGCCAACAGCTACCTCTGCCACGCACCTTCTGGAACACTGCCTTGTGATCCCCTTCATGTTCCATTGGCTCCTAAAGATCCCTCTCTTTAACAAAGTTCTCAGCACCCCCCAAATGTTTAACTTCCTCTCGGTCTGCTGTCCACTTTTTATTTTCTGACCAGTATGGAATTCAGTGACGTTGGCCAGAATTTTCCTAAATATTCTGCCTCCCACCCCCTTGCCCAGTCCCAAAGGATCTAGACTAGCCAAGACCAAGCGCAATTTCTTAGCTTGTGGGATCTTTTGCAGGGAGGTAGAAAGTTTACTCCCATTAAAACCGGAATCTTATAGGAATGAGGAGAAAGACCATCTGAGGCGCCCTATGGAGGAAAGGATGCATTAATGTGTACGTCCCCCTCTCCTCAGCTCAGAAGCAGATGACGGTCAATGTCTCTGAGGAATATTTTATCTATCTCCCTGCATTGTGGGCCATTTGTCCCCCTGGTCGGTGACTTTGCCTCCCTCGGGTAGCGTGTGTGCCAGATTTTCTGATAGCCGGATGGTTGTTATTCCACTGTCAACAGGAGTTGCCAATGGGGGCCCTGTAGGATCCCCATTGTAGCGCACTCAAAAGGAATTGTCTGGGAAATTAAATCTTCAGCTGGACATTTCCTCTACACCTCCAAAAGTCTTCATTTAAATCAGAGAGTTTCAACAACATTATGAACAATAGTTACTGAGGAAATGTTAGACAATTAGTTACATAGTTTTACCTCTGAGTAACTATTCAACAGGCCCAATACTTACTCCCAACTCTACCTCTCTGAGACACATTACAATCCTCAACTCTGACCTGACACCCAGCTAGGGACCCCACCAACTTTTGGACCTAACACCCCACAGCCCCAACTGAGACCCAAAACCCCATACCCCACCAAACCTGGATTCATCACTCCAAACCCTAACTACCCCCACACCCCAGGAACCAACATCCCATACCCCCAACCTCAGGACCATTGGCACCCCCTCCTCTAGGAACCAACCACCAAACACCCTGCCAAAACTAAATCCCACTTTCATCATCCCTCTGACAGATCCCCTCCCACTGCTATCTGACCTGACCGTCTCTCAGGGCCTCTGAGAGAATAGACCCCTGAACCCCACCCCCCCCAAACCCAACCTGGCCCCCAAACCCCAACACCCCCATCCAGCCAAAACCCACTAGTATTGCCCCACCACACACCACCTTACTGTCAAAACCAACCCAACGTGACCAGAGGCCCCTGGGCTGGACAGGGCACAACCAGACACACACCGTTCCACATCTGACCCAGACCCAACCTCTGCTGGACCTAAATTCCCTCAGATCCAACACTCACTTTTCCCACCCTACACCATGCTGGACCCAAGTTCTCCCACCCATTATGACTTCCCTAAATGATGCATCACTTACATGTCCCACTTTACACCTTGCTACCCTACCTCCTTCCCACAGCATCCTACCACGCTGGCACCCTAACCCCTCCCCAGTTGGTATCCTACACAGATGGCACACTACACCCACCCAACATGATGTTGCTATGCCCAGCTAGCATCCTACTTCCCTGGCATCCAACCCAACTTTCACTGTAGCCATCTTGTAGCCTACCTCCCAGCACCCTAACCTCTCACTTACCTTCTGTACTTCTGTCTGACAGTAGCTGTCAAAGTGGCCATCAGGACTTTTACATTTCACAAGGCAGCAACTGACTGCTGTGAAATGGGGACATGTGTTGTCTCCCTCCTGTACTACAAGAGAACTGTCAGAATGGAAGCATGGCTCCTGAGGGAGACTAACACAACTGCACAGAGGCCGGTATCCTGTCACCAAGTCACCCTCTATTTAC